TCGTTTGGTCTTAACTTGGGACTGGGTCAGACTTGGGCTGTTCGGATTGGGCTGTGGGGGGGGGGAGAATTAATGTTTTGGGCCTGGATTTTAATCCAGGTCCGATTTTGTACAACTTGTATTATTTTTATTTTTTTTATTATTTTCTAATTTCATTATTAATTAACAAAAATCTTAATTAAAATTATAAAAAAAAATTACCCTTACAAAGATATTAATTACCTTTTTAACAACTTTTAACACATAGACATCATTAATCACACAGTGGAACATTAAAAATAGAACAAAATGCATATTTTTATGATTTTATTTAAATTAACTTAATTAAATGCATACTTAAATCCTAGATATACATGAAACATGTATTTTTATTTTTATTTTGTTTAATTATAACAAAGCAAACATTTTACGGACATAAACAAATATTTAACACCACGCAAATTCAGAAATTACACAGTAAAAGAAATTTATTTTAATTTATTTTGGAGTAGTTTTTTCGTAAGGCAAAAATCACGTGCTCACAGTACAGTACATGAACACAATAAATATCATGCTTTGAACCAACGAAAGTAATGACACAACAATTACGTGCATGACATCACCGTTCGTGCTTTTACTCTCGTCCTTACCATAAAAAACAACAAAAATGGCACAGCATTATCCTTCGTGCATTAACTCTCTCATAATCATGGCACAACATCACCTTTCGTGCATTATCAATATCAGAATATGGCACGACATCACCCTTCGTGCATTAACACTCACAGAATACGACACGGCATCACCCTTCGTGCTTTATCACTCACTCACAAAATATTGCACGGCATCACCCTTCGTGCTTTACACTCTTCCTCACCCAAACAGCAGGAACAATAACAACCCAACAAGGGAATCATCAATAAAAACCCTCATTTTAACATTTAACTTCACAATATAAATATCAACTTGAGTCAATACTCAACAAATATCTAATACCAGGAAAAAAACATATTATGACTTGTTTAACATGAAGAATAACTAGTTTAAGCATGAACAGTACGTATAAAGAAACACAATAGTCACAAGTATAAGGTTCACTCCCATGCTATGACCCGACACCAACATATAGATACTCGTCACCTCACCTATACATCATACTCAACAACTAAACAAGTAGCAAATAAGGCAATAACACCTAATCCCTCAAGCCAAGGTTAGCCACAACACTTACCTCGATTCCGTGACCAAAATCAAGCCTTAATTACCGCTTTACCTCTCGATTCTACCTCCAATCCACTCGTATCTAGTCATAATTAACTTAATAATATCAATTATAGCTAAAGAAATCAATTCCAATGCATAATTACAAGTTTCCCAACACTTTCCCCAAAAAGTCAAAAACCGACCTGGGGCCTGCTTAGTCAAAACTCGTTGTTAAGACCAAAACCCGATTACTCATTCACCCCCAGCCCGAATATACAATTGGTTTTGGAATCCGACCTTAATTTGAGGTCTAAATCCCTAAATTTTGAAATTCCTAAGTTCTACCCAAAAACACCCAATTCCACCATGAAAAACCCTAGATTCTAAGATAAAATCTTGTAAAAGGATGAAATATATTGAAAGAAATGAGTTAAGAATCATTTACCTACGATTTGAGGAAGAAAGGGTCTTTGGAAAATCGCGTCTTGAAGCTTAGGGCTTGAAAATTTGAGAAATGAATCAAAAATCCCCATCCAAAGCTCGTTTTGAACAGTTGCAAGTATCGCATTTGTGATCACAGGTTCACAATTGCAGACTTTACTTCGCAAATGCGAAGGTTGGCCTGGCCTGCTGGCATCGCAAATGTGAACAAGTGTTCGCAAATGCGGCCCCTATTCTCATTGCAAATGCGACGTTGAGCTTCGCAAATGTGAAGGTCCCCTCCCAGCCCTGTTGATCGCAAATGTGATGCTCGTATTTGCGAGCCAGACTTCGCATATACGAAGTTTGTAGACCTGCAACATACCAGAATTTTTTTTAAGTTTCAAATCACTCCATAGCCTATCCAAAAACTCACCCGAGCCATCGAGACTCCAAACCAAACATGCACACAAGTCTTAAAATATCATACGAACTTGCTCGTGTGATCAAATCGCCAAAATAACACCTAGAACTATGAATTCAACACCGAAACACATGAAATTTTCAAGATAGTTTCAAATTTCCTATTTTCACAACCAAAGGTCTGAATCCGGTCAAATAAACTCCGTTTTCACCAAATTTCACAGACACAACTTAAATATCATATTAAACCTGTACCGGGCTTCGAAACCAAAATACGGGCCCGATACCAACAAGAGCAAACATTATTCAATTTCTAAAAACCATTATATTTTTCGTTTAATAACTTTCATCAAAAATTCATTTTTCGGGCTAGGGACCTCGAAATTCAATTCCGGGCATAAGCCCAAGTCCCATATTTTACTACGGACCCTCCGGGACTGTCAAAACATGAGTCCGGGTCCGTTTACTCAAAATATTGACCGAAGTCAACTTAAATCAATTTTAAAGGTAACACTTAGTATTTTCTCAAACTTTCACATAAGCTTTTGGGAAACGCGCTCGTACTGTGCATGCAACTCGAAGAGAAAGAAAATAAGGTTTTGAAGGCCTCGGAACCTCGAATTGGGTTTTAAAATACGAGATAACCTTTTGGGTCATCACAGAGCCTTACTATGAGAACGAGCCTCCCATTTGCCCTTCGAAAGTTTGCGTCACGTGCACTCGTACTACAACATCTGATTGCAGATTCCTTTAATCCACTCCTTGAGCCGGGGGATCGCATTAGGAACTCGGGCAACGGCTTCACGACCATAAATACTAGTGATAAGAGAGGAATAAAGGAGAAATTGACACTTACGGAAAGACTACACTTACGAGATAAATTCCACTTCTCGAGGAATGGCAGAAACTCGGCAGGGATCAAGTCTTCAGTTTTTACCCGAACAAAATGCCTCTGCCCACCTCGGTCTCAATCCTCGTCGATGCTCGAAAGAGGGGCCTTGTTGGCTTGGTGGGCAAGCTTGATTAGTCCCCGTCAGAAAATTTGGGGACTGTACAGACAGAGTAGGTGGTTGAGGGTGAACTGAGGAGATTCAGTGTTGTTCATAAAATGGCGTAAGAGGATCACGATCCTCCAGAGGGACGAGTAGATTTGCCCGAGGCACACTTCGTACCTCGTGCAAAAAACCAAGATTACCAAGTCAACCGTACCCTACGTAAAGGGGTAAGTACAAACATATAAATACCCCNCTCTCGGACTATGGGAAGGGTATCTTCAGTACCAGAGCATATATATCTCCATGCTCCTTTGCCTCAGTTTTGTTTTGACAGAGGCCTTCTCGACCTTAAATTCATCCTTGATGGAACTGCCCCCGGGTATGAAGCTTTTCATAGGAGGCTCGGGGAGCACCTCGGGAGCATCCACCTCGACATCTGCGGTCGGGTGAGAAGATGTAGGGTCCATTTATTGTGGTACTGATTTGGAGGTTTTGGTCATCATGAATCTGAAAATGTATTAGAAGAAGGTGTATGAAAATTTGAAGGTTAGAAGTGAAGATATGAATTCCCGGGCTGAAAATTCTTGAAAATATATGAAGGTTTGGAGGTTGAAGATGAGGTATGAAGATTTGAGAAAGTTAAAAGCCTTTATAAAATTTGAAGGTAAGATCTAGTTATAGAAAGTGAAAGAAGTGAAGGGGGGTGGCGAAGCTTTTATAGGGGGGAATGTAACTAATACACGATGTTTCACATTCGAAGGCAACCAGCCGACGATCGACACGTGTCCGAAGTCAGAACGACGCGACTGATGGAACATTTACGGTTTATCCAGCGTCTCGGTTGTAGCGCAAGAAGGAAGGAACCGGGGTTCATCTATCGTTTTCCATCGTTTCGGAAAACCTACTCTCTGGAAAACGAGGGAACTATCTGTATACGGGGTGAAACCGGGGTAAGATATACCCCGACTTCCCGATGGGTCAAACAAAGCAAGGATATGATAACACAAGATCGAAATCGAAGCTAAGAACTTCTTGTACCAAGACCCGGAGAAACAATGCTCGCCACCGGACTTGATAAAACGATGCACCCAGAACCCGGGATTGGTTCTGAGACTTCGGGAAGTGCATGAACGGTTATATAGGCGGCAGATAGAGGGTCGTGATATCCGAAATCAACTGGATATCACAGCACGGATCTCACTCGATGGCGATTACAGATCAGTAATTAACGAGAGGGGATGATTTTTACTTTTTACTAGGGGTAAAACTCTCCTACTATATAAAGGAGAAGTTTTTTTTTCTTTGAGGAGATATTATTGTAACACGTATATCAAGACAATACAAATTTATTTCTCTGCTTTGTAGCTATTGCAAAGCCCTTACTTTACTTTTGTTCTTTGTTTTTGATTGGCTTTGAACAAAAGACCCAACCGAAGGCAGAAACTATTGTCCAATCCAAGTTCTAGCTAGGCCATAAAGTTACGACCGGTTTGACTGCTTATTGTGTTTTAAAATCATTTATCTAACATTATTGATTATTTGTGTTAAATTAATCCGCATATCTTTAAAATCATGTATAAATTTAATTGTTATCCGTTTTAAGGGTAAACATACCAACTTTTGAATATGATGCGGGTCTAAGGCTTCTTTTTTTCGGATGAAATTGATCAAACTATATGGGATTCGGGATAAGACCACCGAGAAAATTGGAGGTTTGGTTGGGTTGGNGGTTTGTCATTAGAATTTCCAATTATGACAAAACAAAGAGATTTGTTATCAAACAATATCTATTTGTCTTTGGAAGTAACACCGATATGATATTTTACCGTTACATTTTGTTTCAACTTCACAATTTTTGTTATTCGTTTTTATTTTAATAGCAAGTCTCTAGAAATTCCAATGACAACCATTTTTTCTGTCCCAAAATCTACCCCATTTATTGGCTAGATCCTTTCACAAATAGCCGATACTTTTTTAGTAGGTATACGTAAAATATAATGATTAGTATCTATAATAATGGCACGTAATGATTTGAACAAAGCAATAATAAAATTTAATTAACGAGAGAAATTTTATGTATAATAATACAACAATCATCTAAATTCGAAAAATATTATTAAATTAGCATAATACATGAATTTAAAATAAAAGGGTATCATCAAAACATACATAAATGATCAATTTTTTCATGTTAGTTGGATAATTATGTATTATAGTTTAAAAATATTTAATGTGATGGTATCTTAACGAACACTTTTTTGTGAACAATAATTTTGTGTGTATGTTTCTTCCTAATACTTTGGTTGCTCGGTCTTAACCAAAACTCTTGTTGTCGATCTTGATATCTCTTGAAAGTGAAACATATAATTGTTCGTGCAGGAAAATATATTGCAGTAAATATAGTCCAATATTTAGGATGTTTGTCTTTGTGCTTTATTTATTATATTTGCAAAACATAAACACACTAAAAATTATTTTCACACAAATTTAAAAGGATATTTCTTAGTTTCGTAAGACGAAAGTTGAATTCAGGGATAAGAATATACTTAGAAGTACATTGACCAGTATCATAATTTTTCCACGTATAACGTTATTGTCAAAACTTCTATATACCATTTGTGTGCTATTACATAAGCTATTCGGCGTATCTATATTTTTCAGTAGCATGACCTGCATTTTTTTCTTCCAAATCAATTATATACAATGGAATATCAATTTTAACTTAGTCTATTATATAAACGGTGACACTAACATACGTAAGAAATAATAAACTTGACAACAAACATGTATGGTATAAGGTAATTTGGTATTAAAGTATTTAAGTATTCTTCTTGGTAATAATTATTGGTATCATTTTTAGCTTAGTTAAAAATAGAATTTTTTTTATTATAAAATTTTGCAATCAACCTTTTATTTAGCTGATCAACATATTCATTTCTGCTAGCTAAGATATCTTTTTAATTTTATTATATGATTTGCACCAATTGCATTTTAATCTAGTGATAGAAATATTTCTATTATTAAATGCATTATTATTATCATCGAGATTGATAACCAAGTGTTCAGGAAGAACCAAATCATCTTTTATTGGATGCTCTTCTACATTTCTGATACAAAGCAAAAAGACACCGAATACTGGATCTGTTCGTAATTTATATTTCTTATCAGTTGAATCTTTTTCATTTGAGGTCAAAAGCATAATTTTGGCAAGCTAGCTTTTACAGTCTCTATTTTTGTCGATTTTAGAACTACTGATAGTACTTGACCGTAAATCACATCCCAAATCATTAAATTTTCACCAAATGTTCATTAATATCCAATATATCTTTAGAACTTCGAAAAATCATTTCGATCATTTGACACTTAGCTATAAGTGCTTCATCCCATATTATCAATTTTGCTTTCCTTATAAATGAAGCAGCATTGCTCTACTTTGATATATTTGTGATGGTTATTTAAGTTGTTTGAAAAGGTATATCAAATCTAAAGCGGGTGGCCTCACAATAAAATCGTTGTTGGTACACCACTTGCTATTATTGCTAACAATGTCATGCCTCTTGATATGATATTTGCAAGTAATGCTTGACATGAAAATATTATTTTTATTCCGCCAGAGGCATCTACAAAGAATAATTCCATTATAGAAGAATTGACTTTTATAATATAGTCTCGAAAGCTTATTCTTGTTTAGGATTTAGCTTTGATTGTGCTTCCTCAGACACTTGTATAGCATTTTGATTTTAATAATATACTAACCTTTTTACTTTGTGTATCCTAAGTTTTTTTTAAACTTGAATAAGAATTTTACTTATATGATGAATTTAAAAAATAATTCAATTGGATTCTCTTGCTAAATAATTAGTTGAATTTTTAATTATTTGGTTTTAACATAAAAAATAATTTATTCTATATTGATTCAGATCTTACTATTAGTTCATCTCTTGTTTTGAATATTTAATCTTAATTATAACTTTATCCACCATAAATTTTATTTTCAAAGAATAAAAGATTAATAAGACATTTTATTTTTAGATATTTATGTTTGTAGAATCATTAATATTATTGACTCTTACCAACCATTTTTTTCTCTTTCTTACATATCTATATTCTTAAATAATTTCTTAGTTGTTGTTTAATAATTGAGTATTTTAAAATATTACACAAAATTGAGAAAACAAATATTATTTGAGTAGGAAAATAGTTCAAACATAATATAAAAATATATTACGTGGGGGTAATTTTTTTTCTAAATTCCAATACTTTATGCAGTCCATTTAATATTACTTTTTTTTGGTATTGGACATTATAGAGGGGCAATGTATTGCCAATATGAAGGACTATATTCTTATGAAATTGATTTTATTAAATCTTCCTATATATTTTTAATAATAATTTAATAGACAAAATTTTATTAATTTAAAATCTTAAATATTAAAAATTAGCATAGAAGGTATTGTAGTCCAAAAAATAGGTTATTGCAGTTATGTCCTCTTCCTATGAGTTCTTTTGTTTAATAATTTAGGGCATTTGGGTATATTAATATTGTATTTATGCTTTTATAATAATACAGGCTCTTCTTTTTCTAAATGAATTTGGATAATATAATACATTCTCAAATTAAATTAGTAATATGAGATTATAATATGTTTTAAAATTAAATTAATAATAAAAATTTGTAAGAAATATATCCTCAAAGTAATAGGATTACATGACTAAAGATATTTACTTTGTTCAATTTTATATGAATTAGACAGCCCGAAAGTAATTATACTAATAAGATATTTAAAGGTAATCATGTAGGATTCCTAACATATAGTATTATGTCCTAAAACTAATAGGATTATAAGGCTAATATTTAGAATTCTGGTTATATCCTTTTATTATGTGTTATTATGCTTAATATTATAAGGTTATTTTTGTAAACCGACATTGTATTCATGCTTTTATAATAACTAGTCTCTATTGCTTGTGCGTTGCACGTATATTTCAAGTGAAATATGGCATAATTAATACAAAGGATTATAAACTTTAATCGCATATTTGTTCTAAAATAACATTTGTTAGAGTAATAAGATATAAATTAATGTATATAATAAATTACTATAGTAAATAAATTGATATTTGAATTCAACACGTAATTGGCTATTGCATGTCCCTCCAAAAGAGCACAACTGAAATATGTTATATATAAAATAAGATAGCATGCAAATTACAATATTAACTGTCCCAAGTAGTATCCAAACTTATACGGCTTTATACTTAACCTCATCGAAAGAGAATAGTATAGCATTGGTTTTTATGTTCTTTGTTTCTCCCAGTATACTAGACAATCAAATTTTCATTACAATTAAGAAGTCAAAATAAACCATCAAAACACTTGTCGAATCAATGAATTAGGAGTAGTTCAAAAGAAGAAAACGTATTTGGAGTAAATTTAGAGGCAATATTTAGATTTTAGACGCATGAATCTAATTGTAAAGGTCATAATGACAAAGTATAGCTTCACGTAAGTATCCTGATGAGTGTTGCCCGTGAATTCGTGGGTAAGGATAGATATTTGCCTTGTGTAAGAGGTTAAGAGTGATGTCTTTTTGTGTTGGAAGTCTTTAACATATTCAATAGAGCTGTTAATATGGGTTGGGTCGGGCTGAGCTTGAGCAATTGATGGGTTGGGCTGGGCTAGTCCACCATTTTGGTGGGCCTTATAATGGTCAGCCCACCCCGGCCCTATGTGGGACACGGGCTCCCACGGGTCGGCCCATCATTTTTAAAATATAATTTTATATTTTTTCTTTAACTTCTAACGTAAAAAAGATAAATATTTAAAAGTTAAAAAATATCTTATTGGAAAAATTTCGCAAAACTTAATAACTTTTTAAACTGTTCCAATATATCACAATAAACGCTAAAATGTAAAAGACAAGACTATATTTCAATCACTAAAAGCCAAAACTCAAAACAAACTATTCAAGAGAACGTTCATGACGCTTATGGGATATCCAACACATCATCTTCATCAAACACATTTGAATCCGCTTGTGACAAGGTTGTCTTAACATCTTCACTTTCATCAACATCTACAATTCATATGCAATATTAATTAGTTAAATATTATGAATACTTAAATTAAAACTAATAATATTCAAATTCACAAAAAAATATTACCAGTTTGAGTATGGGAAAAGCCGTGCAACCAATTTCGAGTAGTAACAAGTATTTGGACATTTTCATGATGGATGCAACTTCTGTACTTGGTAAGAACATGCCCACCAATGCTAAATGTTGATTCCGATGCTACAATAGTAATAGGAATACTAAGTATATCACGTGCCATCACTGAAAGATCGGGATATTTTCTAGAATGATCCTTCCAATACATGACAACATCCATATCTTGAAACTTCTCAAGATCAAGCTTTGGTTCCTCTAAGTAAAGATCCAATTCTGACTTTCCATTGCTAGAGGCAGTATCATCCTCAAATGTTTTGAATTCCTATGAAGTTAAAAATACGACAATACATATAATAATAATAATAATAATAATAATAATAATAATAATAATAATAATAATAATAATAATAATAATAATAATATAACTATAGTTAAAAAAACATTCAATTCACAACAAAATGAAAATTACTTACGCTGAATATTTTGAATCCCTTGGTGGGTCTACTTCTATCTTCACTTGATGTAGTCAGAGTACTAGAAGAAGCACTAGCAATATTTTGCTTGTTTGCATAATGTTCATAGAGCTTATACAATTTATTCTTCACATGTGCTCTCTTTTCTTGTGCAGAAATAGGATCCAGCTTAGAATAACAAAAGTTTGAAAATTGCAACTTCATGCGGGTATCAAGGATCGCTCCAAATGCAAGTATTATACTATATTCTTTCCAGTATTTTTCAAACTTTTCATGCATTTTTGAAGCCATGTCTTTAATAACTTTATCTTCATTATTCAACTTCTCCTTGAGCATGCATTCAATTCTCCAAACTTGCATAAAATACAAGTTAGAGGTTGGGTAACTTGAACCAGAAATTAAGTTAGTTATCTCATAAAAAGGCTCCAACGCTTCACATATTTTTTCTGCCCTTCTCCATTGATCAGATGTAGGACTATAAGCATAACTTCTATCATGCAAATGTAGACTAGCAAAAACCTTTTCATATGGGAGAGAACTTTCAAGCATCAAATATGTCGAATTCCACCTAGATGTAACGACCCGACCGGTCATTTTGAGCTCTAGCGCGTCGTTCAGTAGTTGGAGGCCATGAGCAGCTTCACTTCAGGTATTATGACTGGTACGTATGGTCGGAACTGAATTTCGGGTAGTTCCGAGTTGATTTAGAAAGAGAATTCTCATTTCGGAAGCTTTAAGTTGAAAGAATTAACTAGGATTCGATTTTTGAGTAAACGACCTCCGAATCGGGATTCGAAGGTTCCAGCAGGTTCATATGATAATTTTGGACTTGGGCGTATGTCTGGATCGGGTTTTGGAAGACCTGGGAACGTTTCAGCACCTATTGTAGAAGTTAGCACTTTTGGAAGAATTTTATAAGTTTGTGTTGAAGTACATTTCAGTGTTATCGATGTCCGTTTGGGATATCGAGTCTGGGGGTAGCTCCGTATGGTTATTTTAGTGTTGGAAGCGTGATCGGAAGTGAATTCGGAGGTCCGTAGATCATTTTGAAGTCATTTGGAGGTTTTTGAGAAGTTTGACCGAGAGTTTGACTTTTTGATATCGGGGTCAGATTCCAATTCCGAAAGATGGAGCAGGTCCATAATATCGAATATGACTTGTGTGTAAAATTTGATGTCAATCGGGCGTGATTTGATGGTTTTCGACATCGAATGTAGAAGTTTGAAATTTCAAAGTTCATAAAGTTTGGAGTACGATTCATGATTTCGACGTTGTTTGATGTGATTTGAGGCCTTGAACGAGTTCGTATCATATTTTGGGACATGTTGGTATAATTGGTTAAGGTCCGAGGGTCTCGGGTGGATTTCGGAAAGTTAACGGAATGAATTTCGGACCAAAGAGTTGCTGAAATTTTCTGCAGAAAGCTGTTTTGACAGCAGCTAGTGCAATCGCGGAGCTGAATTTGGAAGCCTATATCTCGAAATTTATAAGGAATCTAAAATTTTACAATACATAAAAGTTATTTCCCTTGCATTCTAGTTTCCAGAAAGTTAAACCATTCATTATTTAGACAAGTTATCAGAAAGTTATGATCGATTGAAGACGGCTGGTGGAGCAATTTCGACAGAATTTTCTGATGCATGGAGATGATTTTAGAAGCTCATATCTCGGAATATATAAATACTTATATGGTGTGCAACCTATCAAATGAAAGATCTTCGAGCCTAGTTTCTAAATCTGCAAACCGTTTGTCATTTGGATATTTGCACAAGGAGTTATGGACGTTTTAACAGAAGGTGTACAACAAGGGAAAATTGTAATAGGATGTACAACCTGCACAGGGCAAGGTACAACTCGATGAAGCCGGGGTAGATTGTTTTAAACACGAGTTTTGGCCCATTTCTTTCATTTCTTTCATTTGGCTTGGACGATTTTGGAGAGCTCAAAGAAGGATTTTCACCAAGCAACACTAGGTAAGTGATTTCTTCCTATTTTTGAGTTAAATATGTGATTTTACAATAGTATAAATTTGGAATTTTTGGGGAAGACCTAGAATTTGGAATTTTAGACTTTTACCTTGAATTTGAGCATGAAAATTAGAGCAAATTGTATATTTGAGTTAGTAAATCTATGGGTAGAATTTATCTTCGAGAAATTTTGGAATCCGAGCACGTGGGCCCGAGGGCATTTTGGTCAACTTTTCGAGCCGAGTTGGGAACTTATATAATTTGAATTCTTACAAGTATTAGAATAAACGTTTATTGGTTTGTCCGTTGTTTGAATAGTTTTGGGGCATTGTGCATCAATTGGAGTCGGTGGAAGGGCTTGGAAGCCGGTTATGGAAATGTCGGAGCGAGTTGAGTCTCATTTCTAACCTTGTAAGAGGGAATTGTCCCCATAGGTGAAATAATTGGTTATGTGCTCCTATTTGTGGGGGCTACACATGCACGAGGTGACGAGAGTCCGTTCGTAGCTACTATTATGTATAAGTCCGGGTAGTCTAGGACCCAAAAGCATGCTATACTTGGAATATTTGTAACCTTGTTGACAGTTTGAATTGCTTAAATCATATCGGATTAGTAAAGGAATTTCTAAAAAAATTTAAACTTCATTTTCAAAAATCTTCAAAATAGAATTGGTGTTCCTTTGGATAATTGTTCCATGTTGACTTCTTGATTGACTGTCTATGTGTGTTTAGTTTTGGAACGGACCGAACGCCTCGGTAGATTAAATAGATGCATCTATGGTTCGCGCCATTCGACCCTCTGGCAGTGCACAGTTTAAATATGGTTGGATCGGGTCGTACGACCTTGGCATGATTTGCACATGCTTGTATTGCTTGCATTGAAATTTATTGATATTAATATTTGCCCTCCTAGCCTTGAGATAATTGAAAATTAATAGATTATGAATCCGGAGACTTTTAATATAAAAAGGAACTTTTACATGTTCGTGACTTATTTGAAATTACTGTCGTTATTAATAAATCCATGATTATTCGCATTAATAATATATTACCATTGAACCACTAGTAAGTGTCGAAGCCAACCTCTCGTCTCTACTTCTTCGAGATTAGACGGGATACTCATTGGGTACACGTTGTTTTCGTACTCATACTACACTTGTTGTGCATTTTTATTGCACAGGTTTATATGTGGCTAGTGGCATAGCAGCATGGTTGATACGGAGACTTTGGTCAGTTGCATTTATCGAAACGTCTATAGCCAGCAGAGTCTCCTTCAGAGTATTGTACTATATTTTCATTTATGTCCACTTGTATTCCGGACAGTTACTGTATTTTATTTCATTCCCTAGTAAATGCTCATGCACTTGTGACACCGAGTTCTGGGATGTCTATGGAAGTAGTCAGTATTTTTAAATTGTTAAAGATATCATTATTTATTCAGTGGAAATTTATTCCTTATTGTTTAAACGTATAAAAGAAGTGATTTTAGAAATATTTAAAGCGAGAAGTTACTAATTATTTGTTATTGGCTTGCTTGACAATGGTGTCCAGCGCCATCACGACCCTTAGTGGTTTTTAGGTCGTGACAACATGGTATCAGAGCGCTAGGTTATCTTAGGTCTCACGAGTCATGAGCAAGTCTAGTAGAGTATCGCGGATGAGTACGGAGACGTCTGTACTGTTACACCCCGCAGTATTACGTTGATGTTATGCTCTGCAGTAATATATTATGATTGATGTTATGCTTCGCAGTAATAAGTTACGACGATGTTGCACCCTGCAGTGTTTTATGTTGAATTTGTCATAAGGTAATTGACATCAGTCCAAGGAAAAGATTATTTGGGAATTATAAGGATTATGCTATTTCACAAGTGATTAGTAAATTCATGAAGGTGAAAGGGGGAACAAGTCAAAGAAAACGAATTTTGTCGAAGTTTGGCATTTTGGGATAAAATGCGGCCCGAGCTAAAATACTCGGTATTTATGGACTACTACCATGCAAGGTACCATATGACCACGGTATTATAAGGTATAAAGTATATTAAAAATAAGTAGATATTTAAGTAATTTGAGGTAATTTTTAAATTATGCGGGTAATTGATTAATTACCGGGTAACGGGACATTACCTAGTTAATTATTAGATTATAAAATGATACGTGGCAGCAAGGAAGCTCATAGAATATGAATAATTATTCATAAAGGATAAGTGTCATCTACGTGTATAATTCTTAAACGCCTAAAGACATGTACCAAGATATCAAGATTTGGTATCTTTAATTAGATCTCCAACTTGTAGTATTCTACTAACTGTTGGCACTAGAGTTTCATGCCATTTGATGTCAAGCTTTTTGTTCAACTTAATTCCATCGTCAATAAGTAAGATAACAATTCTTTCTTTGAAGCAAATAGAATCACTCGCCTCCAACCCAAAGTGTCGACGAGATTCTTCAACAGCATCCAAAGATAAGCTTGAGCCTTTAACAGATGAATAAAACATTAGAGAAAACCCAAAACCAAGTCTTGCCTCCTTATTTCTTTGTTAATAACAATAGTAGAACACTAAGCATGAAAAGGTTCCAACGAAATCTTGCAACAACGCAATTCCACACGAATTTGTTAGAATCGTAGCAACGTAAAATTTTGCGGTTCTAAAGAAGTACGGTATTATCTTCTCCAAAAGTATTTTATGGAGTTTTCCCTACTCCCGGGTATGTTAAGGCTACCCCTTCTTTCTTTTGGCATGATCCATACGATATGAACGAAACGTGCAAATGCACAAATTTCATAAGTGACTCTACTCATAGAAGTAATAGAAATATCTATGTTCTTTAATTTCCATGTGTCATAATATTTTATCATATGTTCATGGGTCTCAGAAAAATACGAAGGTTGAAAAGATGTTACTTTATGATATTGCTCAAGAGGCAAAATGGTCTTATGACATTCCGAATGATTTTATTGACGTACTTTTCATGCATTGCATTCATGTGCATTGACCCATGACCAGATGGCGTTATATACACGTATATATATGTAAATATATGTATATGGGATATGGGAAAAGGTTACGGCGTTATATACGCACCATCACCTGATCAGCTGGTATATGATAATGTTGTTGCCCACAGTGGCTGAAATATGATTCAAACGGCATTATATACGCATATATATATATATATATATATATATATATATATATATATATATATATATATATATATATATATATATATATATATATATATATATATATATATATATATGATTCAAACGGCATTATATACGCGTATATATGTATGTATATATGTATATGGGATATGGAAAAGGTTATGGCGTTATATACGCACCACTACCTGATCAGCTGGTATGCGATGATGATTTTGCCCAAGACGGCCGATGATATGATGGGATGCCCTCAAAGGCTGATGATGTTATGAAACATGTACCTATGCACGACATGACATTCATATGCATACGCATGACGTTGAAAGTAATTTATGATTTACAAAGTTATTCAGACTTACAGGTTGACTCATGTACTCTATATGTCTTCCATGTCTCTTATGTATTTATTTATGTGCCTTACATACTCAGTACATTATTCGTACTGACGTCCCTTTTTCCTGG